ATTAAAGATTTTTTTTTCCTTTTTTGAGGTCGACAATTATTGGGAAAGGAGGAATGAGAAAGTTGACAATTTGGGGCTTGAACACTAGCCCTAGAGGTGCCATCCACTCTTGTTGAGCAGCGAGTTCCACTTGCCCACCTAGTGATTGGTCAAAATAGTATTTTTAAGAGTTTTTATTTTGTAATTTAAATTACAAAATAAGAATAATTTGATGTGGAAGGATCTTTGATATTAAGGGACCTAACTCTATTTAATTATTTAAATTATGTAATTAAATGTAGTTTGAATTATTTTACACTTTTTTATTGCTTTAATTCCTTAGTTTCCCTCTTAAATGTTGTGTTTGACATAAGAAGTAAAAAAAAAAAAGAAAAAAAAAAGTCATGGAACAAAACGTAAAAAACAAATATTTTTCCTTTTCGTGGTAACATACCTATACGGCCATATAACCCAAAATTATTGTGAAAATGATTTAATTTTCTATGAAAAATTTTGAGGGACATACATGGAGGAAGAGAGTATCTGGTCGAATCCCTCATAAACACAACACACAAAGTAGTTGTCAAATAAGGTCTTAATAATTCGAAAGATTAGATTCACTTATAAATAGATATTATTTTGTAAGTGAAAGTTTAAAATTTAAATTTTAAAATTAGCATTTAAGTTAATTTTTTAAAATATATTAAACCAATAAAATTGATGTACTCTTAAAATCATTTGAAAAGAAATTAATTTTTATAAATAAAAATTTACCTACTAATACATCAACTATCCAAATTAAAAGAACGAAAAAAAGATATCTTATTTCAATTGCTAAAGTATAAATTGAAATCTTAAAAAATCTCAGGTTTAAATTAATTTTCTAACTCTAGAAAATGTTTTGAATACAAAATTGCAACCAGCTTAGAAGGAGGAGGTAAAAAGAGAAAGGTTTTTTGTCACCACCCACATGAATCTTTATGATATTCAGCCACGGGATAACATTAATTATTCCTTTCGCTGTAGCCTTCCTATCAAAAAAGAACATAACGCACACCATGTGCTCGATGTTTTGTCTGAATTGGGCGAACGCTGCTTTTTGCTATGTTTTCATTTTTTGGATTGCACAATCAACATGTCTTCAAGATAATTTTTGCGTATTTAATTTTTTTGAATAATTTTAAAAGTAAAGCTCTTTATATTTAATCCAATACATTTTAAAAAATTAATTTTTTTAATGTTAATTTTAAAATTTAAATTATAAACTTGATCTATAAAATGACTTAATATGTTTTCTTAAAAACTTGATTATGATCAACATATAAGGGATCTCCTTGACTATTTCAATTGTAATAAGTATTTGTGTAAATAAGAATATAAAGGGTCGAAATATCTTTTATATTTTTTTAATAAAATACATTTGTTTATTAATTGAAAAGAAACAAACAGATAAAAACATAAACTTAAAAACAATGAAAATTGGAGAGAATTTATTTAGAAACTTCTTTTTTTGAAAAAAATTACATCCCTTAGTTTGTGCATTTCATTAGGCATATGGATAAGAACATATTGTAAATGTTTCCATCACTTGAAGTGGTTGCATTATCATGTTTGGTTGGTTTGCATAGTAGATATTCTTTCGTAAAATACAACTCATTGATGCTGACTTAATAATTATCATGATATACCTAACTAATTGAGTGCTTCATCCCAAGTTATGCACTCCCACACAAGTCCAAGGGCTTACGTGCCCTAAAACAAACCACCTATCGACCTTTCTTGTAAAATGGAAAAGAAATTAATTAAAAACATATACACAACGGACAAAATATATTACAAGAATAGAAATAGAGAAACGTTTCTTTCAATTCCAACCACTAAAATTTAAAAAAGAAAGTTTGTCATTCAGATTAATTACAGCCCTCGGTTGTCGAGTCTTCGGATGTGGCCGTAATTGTGAGGTCATCATCAAAGGGCTGCGGTTAATTTGTGTAGCCTATTTGTAGGCTGTGTTTGGTTGGCGTCATTTCAAGAAAGAGAGTTAGCCAAGCCTTGCACAATTACTAGTTTTTTACTATATTAATTCTAGAACACTGCAAAAAGTTTTGTTCT